AAATTCAGGGTCTGATGGGTATGCTTTCTAGGCAGTCATCTTTTCACTCTGACTTCGCAGCAGAATGATGAGGGCAGTCTTTGGGGGACGCTTAGAAAGGCACTAATTCACCCTCCTGATTTAATTATCTCCATAAAGCTCCAATTCCTAATGCCATCACCTTAGGTGACAGGATTTTAATGTGCCTCTTATAGGAACCTGATCATTCACACCATCACAGTCTGTTTGATAAGCATGCAGACTGTAACTATTTTCATATTAGAAGTACTAGTAAAAATTATGTTTTATGTAACCATCAAAATGAATTTTCTTACCGAGAAGCAACATATATAGACCTAGGAAACATGAGACTTTTTTGGGAAATATTGAAGTGGGATTCAGAAACATCTGACCGCTGACAAATACATAGCAAATAGTGCAAGTTTTGGTGCTAGAAAATAGATGTTTCTTCCAGTCATGTGTTGGTGAAAATAGGATGCAGTGTTAGAGGATACTTATTATTGCTTAGGAGTAGTTTCACTTGACTATGTGGATAAGACACACACAGAAAAGAGCACTCATGCAGACTGGTGCAACCACTATGGAAATCAATATGGAAATACCTCAAAGAGTTGGGACTACAAGTTCCATTTGACCCAGCCATTCCTCTTCTGGGTATCTTTGCAAAAGAACTAAAAGAATCATACCACAGAGATATATGCACACCTATGTTTATAGTGGCACAGTTTGTAATAGCTAAAACTTGGAAACAGCCCATTTGCCCAGGAGTTAGAAACTGCATAAAGAAGATGAACTTTTTCTATAAAATGGAATACTGCTCAGCTATAAAGAATGAGAAAGTAGATTCATTCATAGGAAAAGGTTACATACTGAGGATATACTCCTAAGTGAAATAAATAAGTTACACATGTGTAAATACCAAATAGTTTCTCTGGTGTGAAAAACTATAATAGTACACAAGATCCTAATGAGAAAATTGACATTGTGAAATAAGAAGAGAAGGGCTAAAGGTGTAGGGAAAGTGGGAAGGGTAGGGGAAAGGAAATGAAGGAAAAGAAAAAATATGAGAAAATGAAAAAATGGAAATAAAGTGTAAATGGGGAGGGGAGGAGTGGGTGAAGGGAGGGCAGGGAAAAGGGAAAAAAAATGAGAACCAAGACCTGTCATGTGAAGATACAAGATCCCAGTAATGAATGTAGCTGTACTGTATAAGTAAAATGTACCAATAAACTCAATGAAAAAAAGCGAAAAGAAAAGAGCACTCATAATAAGTATGTTCTCCCTTAGTTGTCCTCTTTTCCTACTTAGTACTGCAGACATTTGAACTGGAGTCTTCATCTTCCTCACAACTTTGTCCTGTATGATCTTGCTTCTGTTGTCATGGAAGTAATTATGTGGCAGTTTGGGTAATACAACCTAGAGTGCATTCAAATTAAATAAGATTGGTGAAAACAAAGTAGAATGAAAATCTCTCAATGCTATTGGACTTTTCTTCTACTCTATCTTTGTGTTTACTCCGATATCTAATTGTATAGTTCAGTTTTTCTCTAATTGATCAAGAACTTTCAGAGCCTTCAGGCCAAGTAATATAAATATTCATGAATCTAAAAATTGATATAAATTATTTGCGTTTATTTCATGTCAAACAAATAAATCAGTTAAACACTTTTTAGTGCAATAATTCTAGTTTCCTTCAGCTAAGGTCCAAGACTTGTTAAAAGACTTAACAATTGCTTTCAGTCTTTCCAGGCTTTTTGATATACAGTTCTTTTAAAAATCTCCACAAGTCGTTAAAGATAAGAATGCTCTTCAAAGCAAGTAAAAGTTACATTAGACATCTAAAAGAGTTTTTAAGGTCCAAAGCACTTGATGTTCAATGAAACAAGTCAACTCAGAGCCAAACTCCTGTAATTGCTGTACTAGCAGGAATGGTTTTGTATTTCATTTTTTAAAGTCTTTTTTTTTTTTTTTTGGCACTGGGGATCAAACCCAAGACCTTGCATTTTTTCGGTAGGTACAGTGCCTCTGAGCTAAGTCCCTGGCCCCTAAAATCTTGAATAAATAAATTTAGGGAAGTTGGTGGATAAAATAGTTATTAACACTGCTTCCAATTTCTCATCCTCAAATAAATCCACGACAATGACTGCTACCCATCTATTGCCTTTTTCTACCAAATTTAATGAAATCATTCTTTAGAGTAATAGAGGAAAGCTTACTTTTCTGTTACCTTTTCATTTGCCAAAAGGGTACTACAAGATTTATAAGGTCAATGAATCTAGTCCTGCTGGAAATTTAGCAAGTAAGATATTTTCACCATATCAAACAATTGGTAAATCTAGAGACCAGAGATGGACTAAGTAAAAAAGTAGTCAGTTTGCTTTAAGAAGCACTTCAACCTCTCTCCTCTTCTAACTTCTTAATTCTCCTCTGACTCTTAAGGAAACCATTGCTTTTTGCAGGTAAGGCTTTCTGACTTTAGCTACTTATTTGAGTCACTAAATCCTCTCTAGGTATTTCCTTAATTCTAGACTTTTTTCTTTTTCCATCAAATGTACTTTAACTTACTAGAAAGCCTCTGTTTTCTTCTGAAATAAAAAGGTAAGGAGTAGTACTTTTAAAAATATAATCCAGATCAATATTATACCAATTAAACCCTGCAGAAGCTACTATCCTGCAAAGAAGTGGCCAAAGTCCTTAAGGATACTACGTGGTCTAACCCTGGACACCTGCTTCTCAAGGTCTTGACATTCCTTTGTGACATCAGCTCACCAAACAAATAAAAATATTTTTTTCTATATAGCAGTCCTAAATCACTCCATCATTTACATCTATGGCACTTACGTGATGTATTATACATTTAATTTTTTATCTGTTTGTTGTTTGTCTACACTTTCTCCAATAAATTCTAGTAAGTGAGCAGTTTTAGTATACTGCTTTTATAGCATTCTCCAGGATTTAATGTAGTCACCAGACTCTGAGAGAAGCTCAACAGATATTTACTAAATAAGTAATGAAAAGCCTCTTAACAAAAGGTAGTCAAGAATCTTTCTTCTATAGGATGGCATAAGTGACTCATGAGAACCTTCAGAATGCCTGGGAAAGCAAATGACAAGAAAAATGAGGCACAGGTGCTCAGGGTTGAGGCTGACAGGATACTAGTAGGTAAAGACCAATGTGTGTACGCCGGCTTGGGACATGGGGTAACAAAAATGCAGAAACAGAGAAAGCCAGAAGCAAAAAGACCTAGAGTAGAAGAGCAACAAGGAAGGATAGTCACCAAAATCAAGGGAGAGCAGGTAAAGAGCCCATGGAATGTGTCATTCTCAAAGCTTTTTTTTTTTTTTTTTTTTTTTTTAAGATTAAGTAGACTTGGTTCTCACTACCAAAAAGGCACAACTAGAATGGCCACGTTGGTGTTTGTAGGCTTAAATTGTCCTTTCCTTGGCAGTATAGGGTATGCAGGTGTTTTGATTTTTGTTTTAATGTAAAATAAGTTGATTGGTCCAGTTGATGCATCTCAAATGAAAATCATTTCAGGCAGTGCTTTGAGTTGATGGGAGAGAATGTTACTCTGTTAAATCCTCCAAGTCACAGATATAAACCCTTCTTTTCTATCTTGTAAATCCACTTGAGATTAAAATTATAGTACAGGGCCGGGAATTTAGCTCAGCGGTTCGGGACTGCCTTGCAAGCGCAAGGACCTCAGTTCAATCCCTGGTACAAAAAAAAAAAAAAAAAAAAAAAAAAAATTATAGTACAAAATTGCTGCTTTAAATTTTAAAGCAAATTTACTAAAGAAGAGAAGGATGAGGAACATGAAACCTAGTAGTATAAAGGACAGCTTCTGAATACATGTGGAGCCTTGCCCGAATTAGAGTAGATTTAACTGGGAAAAGATGGAGCTAAAATAACCAGGACCTGTGTGGCCATTCCACTCTTTGGCCTGGATCTGCACTTTCTCATTCACCACAATTCACGCTATGCACTATCTCCTTGATCATGAGGCCCTTTATTACTGTGCTTCTGTTATAATTTAGAAGAATTCTTGGCATCTTTGTTACAAATAATAGACAAAAAGAAGACAAAGGCCTTCATGATTCTGTTACATCTGACATTATTTACTCATTGAGGTTTCTTGCCACTGTAAGAATTTGTGTTTTTGCAATCCCTGATCACATTCGCTGCTTCTGTATAGCTATGAAGAAATTTTTACTCTCACAGTTCAATGATTCAGCTCACTTGACACTAACAAATTTTTTAAAAATTCAACAGTCTACATCTGAATTTTACTGATCATATTGATACAGAGAGTGAAGAAGCTTAAATTAATGTTTGATCCAGCAAAAGATTTGGGGACTGTGACTTACCATGTATAAAATCTATTCTGCTGACCTCCTTGCCATAGGACTGGAGTATTCCCTAAAGCTCTGCTGAATTGACTGGAAACATGATGAGGCATCTAAATTCTGCAGGTAGAGCCTTTCCTAGCAACCAATTTGATTTTTGATGGACAAAGAGCACCAGGAAAGTAGATGCCTTTGTGCCTGAGAAAAAAGAAATCCCCAGCAAGATAGACATACCCTAATCAGTATGCTCTGGGTATGACAGCATGCAAGCAAGTGATCTATTTTGTTCTGAACTCTGCCCCTGTCAATGACAGTACATGATTTACCAGAACAAATCAAATAAATGCAGTTGACTCCTGTTTTGACATTTCAAAACACCAAACTGTATTTCCTTATGCACTCTATTCTACATTCTTAATTTTGATTTTTGTCTTAAAAGACACTGTTGCTAGACTGAAAATAATGATTAGCATAAATCAGGATAGGATGGGTTTCTGCGCTTTCCAACATGATAGGGAGAATAGTTTCTGCAGAGATATGATAGTGTAATCTGTATGTTTCAAAAATTACTGTCCTTGAAAAGACTTTAAGATCTTGACTATGCAGTCAGTGGTGAAGTATTTCAGTGCTCCATTGCTCCTGTTCCTGTTACAGGTACATGTGACAGCACTGCAGCTATGAGTGGAATCTTAAAGAGGAAGTTTGACGACATCGACTTCTCCTCAACCTGCTCTTCTGTGCGAGAATCAGATGATGTTGTTTCTAGCTCTGACCATGCCGAATGTGTTGATAGTGTCTATCTGTCCACATCTAATCATTTTACCAGTGAGTATGTGAAACTGTACTTCTCAGTTCTGTGAAACTGTACTCTAAATTCTATTGTACTGTTGATTCTGGGAACTTCAATTTTACCTACAAGCTTATGTCTTCTCCCATAGCAAACATATTTGCAAATGTCATTTCAGTGCATTAGACCTCAGCTGTATACTTTCGTTCTTGTTTATGGAATGAGTATATTGGAGGCCAATAGAATCCAATGAAAGTAAGCAGATAGCAACTGAAAATAATTCAATATGCATCTCCAGCTTTCTGAAATAAGTCCTCTTTGGAAATAAAACCAGTTGGGCCTTTTTTCAAGCATCTTCTTTTGGTCAATAAACAATGGAATATATGCAGTGCTGAGCACAATACATTCACTTCCTAAATGAGAAAACGATTTTTTAAAAATTTTTTTGCACTGCTGGAGATTGAACCTGGAGCCTCACTCATGCTAAGCTAACACTCTACCACTAAGCCACATTTCGATTTTTGAGAAAATGATTTTAGTTTTTAAAAGAATTTTTGCTGCAAAATTTGGCCCTGAAAGCTCTGAGGTTTCACTGTTGTCTGGATACAGGTAAAACTCAGATTCAGTTCCAGGTTCATACACTACAGTAAGGGCTGCTTTCTTCACAGACAGACCTCGAAGCAATTCATGAGAGCCAGTTCATTTAGCTTAATACACTATGTTCTAATTTATAATTCTAAACTGTATTCCTTGTAAAAGATGTACATGTAAAGATTTGAAATAGGTAAACCTTTTTCTATAGCTCTGTGAATTCTACCCTAGTCATTAAGGAAAGATTTATCTCAAAATACTTCTTTAGAAACGATAACATGCAAAGCACAACTAAATAAAATCAATGAAATTACAAAACTTCATCTACCTCTAATGAGATGAATGGTATAAACTTGCCTTTAAAATTTCATTCTATAAGTTGTGGTAAAAAATTAATCCACATAAAGGAATATAATTCAAGAGATATTATTTTCACAATAATTTCACTATTATTCTGCAACATTTTGAAGACATTTTCTTTTGGGGATTTTAAACTCAACAAAATACCCTTTTAAAATCCATACTAAAGTTTATACAATGTGGTTCTGTCACCCTTAAAATTCCATTTATATCCCTCTTCTCCTCAGGTATTCAAAAAAATTTTTGGTACTCATGATAGTTCTTCACCACTGTTAGAATTATCTCTTGAGGAACATAAAACTTTTTAAATGAATTTGTAGAATGTCTTAAAACGGAGAAGGAGATAAAGAAAAACTTAAGGGAAAGAAGATCATAATAGTTATTTTGAAGGTAAAATTCTCAGTTACATGAAATTATTTCCAACAGTGAATTTTGGGGAAGAGATATGTTTTATTTGAAGTTTGCTTATAGCCTTTGCACACCCTTTTCCAAGCAATTATGACCTTGAGTGAAGAGGTGCGCATGAACGTTGGCTTTTACATCTATCTGCCTTCACACAAGCGTATAGAGCATTTCATGATGTTTAGAATCGTTTTTTCTGAGTGAGTAGATAACTTTCAGACAGTTTTTAAAATCGGGAAAGAATGAGCCCACTGAGTATTGTTATACTTTAAAAAAGCAATGGTGTACATTTAAACACATGACCATCAAGAGCCTTCAAGTAATTCCTTTTCCATAAACCGCAAGAGCTGCCTAGCATTTCCCAAATGTATTTCCTTTTTACCCGCTCTTGGCAAAATATCATCAATCTAAGACTCTATTTCTCTGAGATACCACCTCATCCAGTACTGTGGTGCAGTATTTTTTACACCTCTGTGATCCCCACCACCACCACTTTTTTTTTTTTTTCAAATCTCCAGCATGCTTTCAACCTTGGCATCTGTGCCTCTCCTAAAGTTACAAATTGGTTGTCTACTGGAAAAACCAATTTCAGGACTTCTCTATGCAAGATATCTATTGATTTCTATAGTTTGTGAGTTCAAAGGTACAAAGTACCTATGATGTTCATTTAAACACCATAAGGTCTTACAGTTATGGCTCATGATGCTTTCCAGATGAAAGTGATGTTTTGGTGGGTTAGGGGAGTTTGAAAAATTATAGGTGAGGCAGTTGTTCTGAGCACTTGAATTAGTCTATGGAAGAGTACAAGTTCCAGTGGAGAGGGTTTTTATTTTTAATAACTATTTTGATTTTTGGTCATAAGCATTTTGTCTCACAGCAATTGTTATAGTCTATAGAGAAGACACATATCCCTGCAGTCAGAAGAAAAATTTTAGGCAGCCGCAAAGTGTGATATTCTTTTCAGTAGGGATCTTAATATGCTTTTCTTTGTAAATTTTCAAGGGTTGTAAGGGAAACATCTGCTGATGCTCCTTTGTAAAGGAATGGAGCACTGTATCATGGAGCAACTTGTAACTGAATGTGTGATTGGGGATAAACAGTGGGGAGGAAATGTGAAGAGATGAAAACTGACAGAGGGAGGACTTTCTGATGCTGTGGGTTACTCTTAGCTTTCGTGTGCAAAAAGCTAACAAGCTTAATGCATAATAATTAGTAATACTTAATAAATTATTTTGTAAAGTTGGAAAAATTGAAGAACAACCATATTACATACAGAAGCCATGCTTTGTATATAACAGAGTAAAACAAAAGACAACAACAGTCATATATAATTTTTAATTCAAAGGGTGTTAGAACTAGCAGGGCCTTTGAGAACATCCAGGTTGACTTCCTTCATTTGCAGATGTAGAGACTAAGGCCCAGAGATATTTGATAAGAATCAAATAGGACTTGGTTGCAAAGGTCTTTAGTGCAGATCCCTGCCTTTTTACTAGACCATGCTGTTTCTGATGGTCCATGTGTGTGCTTGACTAATAAGTACAGTAGAATGACTACAATCATCAAGGAAAAGATATGACTGTATCTTCTGTGTGGTATGCCCTTAGAAATAGAATGAATCTATTTTTTGGTAATCATAAATAGTGTCTTATCTGCATTGGTTTTGGAGGATTTTTTTTTCAGTTGTTTCTGGTGAAAGTGTTGGCATGTCCTGGCTGCAGCGACTGTGATGAGTTTATGGACAAACTCAATGAGCTAAATGAAATAGTTGGCAGAGAATTATGTTTCAGTGTGAAAGAACATTTCATTTTCCTTTTCATAAGTAACTGACAGGGCAGACTGTTGAGAATTTCCTTGTATGCCGCTGACATTGATGGAAGTATCTTACAGCAAACATGTTGTTTTACATTTACAGGAATGAAATCGGTTGGTCTTGGTGACATAATGCTACTTGTGATAATGTGGAAATGTTAAAATAAAAAGTAGGTGAGCTGAAATATGCAGCGTGAATCTTTAACAGTAGCCAACAAATCAAGGGTTGTTTCCTTTTCTTTTGAAGTAAAAGCCTTTATACATTTCACATTTTTTTCTTTTTTTTTTTAATTGAGTTTATTGGTACATTTTAGATTTACAGTACAGTTACATTCCATTTCACATTTTCCACAGGGGTAAATGAGCATCTTGGACCTCCTGAAAAAAACGATAATATCTTTCTATTCCTTGTACTGCAGGGCCTTGCATTACTTGTTCAATAATTCAAGATTTCAGAAACCTACTAACCTTGCATTTCAATTGGTCTCACTTAGTCACAGCTTCTGATTGAATGGAGTAATTATATTCCATTTTGCTGGCTAGGCACAGAGTTGGCTTTTGTATTTATTTGTTTAGAGCCCTGAAAAAAATTTAAATTTGTCTCTAAACTTAAAAGCATAATGGAACTGAATTTCAAATGAAATTTTTTATGTCTATAATGATGAATGTAGAAAAACAATTGTGTTTTTACTGTTAGCTAGCTATCATGAAAAACTATATATAAAGATAGTCCTGTCGTGATAATGGTATTGTCTTTCATCTCATTTGAAGGATAAGACTTTGTTAGTGTTAGATATAAAATGCATCAAAGAAAATCTTCAAATTTCCCAAAACTATTAGTTATTCTTGATGTTTATAGGTAGACTTGATACTGTAGCTGTATTTCATAAAAAGCATAAAAAATAATGTTGCTATTAAATATTAAAGGTACTACCTTCACATTAGTGATCAAAACATTTTCTTCTGACAATATGACTTATTTACAAATGACTATTATTTTCATTTTATAAATATCTTTATAAAGAATCACATCCTTACATTGGGGTTCTTCTAAGAGTAGTCACAGGTGATAAACAAGTTATTGCCCAACTGCAAAACATTGTGACTAGAAAAAGGGATTCAAATGAATTTAGATGATTAAAATTATACTAAGCTTCTTCACAGAACCATAATACTTTGGCTTAGTTTGAATATCAGAAACTGACAAGTTTTATCCTTGCTGTTTGTGATGATGGTGACGATGAAATCAGTGCTTAAAGCAAATGTCCTTGTGTTTCTCAAAAGACTTTAACATTCATTGTGCATATCTGGCGTTCTGATGCTTTGTGACAGCTCAGGGGAAGTACATTTGTGTGCATGTGAATACAAGAAAGGATTAAACCTGGTTCTGCTTAAAAATCAAAAGCCTGTTGTGATTTTTGAATAGGCTACAATATTTAACCCTTTCACTCTGAGAAGTACATGATTGTATGTTAAAAAATATTTTTTTTCTGTTGAGTGAGGAATTTGAGAATAAACAATATATTAGGGCTTCAGAATTATTACACCATGTTTTACATGCTCAGTTACAATGATCTGGCATAAATGAAAATACTTACATAAGTCTCAGATTCGCTGAATTCCATTGAGAACTGATCAAAGGTTATAAGGATAGCTTTTAAATGTGATGAAGAAAGAGCAAGCCTAATACATATAATAGAAGAAAAATGTTTGCTTTTTTTTTAATGCTTGCTTTTTAAAACAAAGACCAACACGTAAAAACTGAGGCATTTTTTCTTAGTAATACCTAATTTTTAGGAAGGAAATCTTTTCTGAGTTATAATTGAAATAGAATCTCTGCTGCATTTGCTTTTAACTTATCTCAAAATATAACAAT